TGTGGGGATTCCTCTGCTCGATTCCTCTTCTTCTTCCTCTTCTTCTCAGCCGACCACTTCCACACTTCAAACTCTCGGCAACATCATCGTTTCCGTCATCGGAACCGGAATTTTGGGCTTGCCTTATGCTTTCAGAATTGCCGGCTGGGCCGCCGGATCCTTGGGCGTCATACTCACTGGCGTCGCCACCTACTACTGCATGCTCCTTCTGGTTCGCTTCCTTTTTTTTCTTCTTTTGTTCTTGCTTCTTTGTTTAGAAATTTGGATAGACGCGTGTTTGTTTGGTTCATGATAATGCCGGATTTTGGTACATAATCCCCTGTTTGGAGTGATGAAATTGCTTGAGAGTTAAGATTCATAAGGTTGCTAACCTGTTTGGCGTATTGATTTTCTGAATGTGAGATTGAGAGAATACGTACGGTGTTTCTACTGCTGAGAGTGTTTGAATTGCTGTGTTTGATGCCTATTATGAAGTTGTAGCTCTGTTCAATTTTTTTGTTTATGTAAGGTAATCCCCTGTTCGGATGATGATATTGCTTAAGATTCGTAGGCTTTATGGGAAAGGTATAATGTTAACCTGTTTGGCGAATTAGTTTTCTGATTATGAGAGAATGTGTTTGGTGTTTCTACTGCGCTTTCTTTCTACCTTTTTAGCCAATAAAAAGTTTGGAGGTTGTTGCATGTCTAAATGTTTGAATTATTGTGTTTGATGTCTTTGTATAGCTGTTTCAAAGTTGTAGTTCTGTTTAACTTTCTCGTTCGTGTAAGGTGATCCCCTGTCCGGATGATGAAGTTGCTTAAGATTTGTAAGCTTACACAATTGCGGTATGGCTATGGTGTACTGTTAATCTGTTTGACAAATTAATTTTCAGAATCTGAGAGAATGTGTTTGGTGTTTCTACTGCACTTTCTTTCTACCTTTTTAACCAATAAAACTTTGAATGAATGTTATTGTGTTGTATGTTAATGTTTGAATTATTGTGTTTGATGTCTTTGTAAAAGCTGTTCTGAAGTTGTAGTTCTATTCGATTCTTGTCATGTAAGGTGAATTGTAGGGAGAAATTGGCATCGCAAGGAAGATCCAAGGAATCAAGAACTTATGGTGATTTGGGGTATATGTGCATGGGAAACAAAGGTCGCTACCTTACGGAGTTTCTCATTTTCTTTGCTCAATGTGGCGGCTCAGTGGCATATCTGGTATTTATTGGTCAAAACCTTTCATCTGTATTTCAAGGTCATGGCCTCGCATTTTCCTCCTACATATTTTTGATAGCAGCAGTTGAAATTGTGATGTCATGGATTGGATCTCTGGCTGCTTTAGCACCTTTCAGCATTTTTGCTGATATTTGTAACGCAATAGCAATGGGAATTGTGGTAAAGGAAGATATACAAAAGGCAATAGCAGGTGGAATTTCGTTTGGGGAAAGAATGGTGATTACATCGAATTTACGAGGCTTACCATTTGCAGGAGGGATGGCGGTGTTCTGTTTTGAAGGATTTGGCATGACATTGGCTTTGGAATCCTCTATGAAATACAAAGCTACATTCCCCAGGGTTCTTGCTCAGGCTTTTGTAGGGATAACCATCATGTATGTTTTGTTTGGATTCTCCGGATACATGGCTTATGGTGATGAAACCAGAGATATTATCACTCTCAATCTTCCCAATACTTGGTCAACAAGAGCAGTTCAGGTAATCACAGTAACTCATGCACTACTAGTTCTTTTATAGTTTTGCACATATAACTTCTCTTTCATTTTCCACCATCATCCTCTAGTTGAGGATCAGGTCCATTTATATTCTCGTACTCATACACGTCTTCATTCACATAACCTGGTAGTTTATTGTCCTAATGTGAACTGATTTAAACTTCATGCCAATATTTTCACTAGGGAATAAATTATAATACGTTTTGTCTCTATTTCACATGCTACATGTGAGTTAGCCATTGTTTTCATTTTAATGCACTTCGACCTCTCTTATGCATGTGCTGCTGATTGAATTTATTTTTTAAAAGTTGAATTGTATTGCAGAGTAGTTGTTAAATCTATATGCCAATTTTGATACATAGGATGAACTGATATATTGGATTCTAAGTTATTTTATACTAGATGTACTAATATGTCGTGATGCATTCATGTATTGCAACGAAAACCATAAAGTGACTTCAGTGGTATTACATTTTTATATGGTTTTAATATACTATTATTATCGGGTCCGGGCTTGGGGCAGACGCAAGTGCCCTTGGGTACAGGGGAGCAAAAGTTCCGATTCCCAATTATCCAAATATATATATACACACACTATTATCATTTTTTTGTTTTTTTGTTTTTTTTTCCCATTGTCCGTAGCTGGTATTCTTTCTTTTATTTGAGGTATTGTCAATGATCTATGGGAATAATGCCCGTCTGCTCAACGGTTGAAGCACCAAGTGGACTTTGATGCTACCATTTTTTTACAAATAAATTAATGAACATTAAAAAATTATGCTTAAGCAATGTTGTCGATAGAAATATTTCAGATGCTGTTGTCATGTATCTTAGGATTCAGGTCTTCAGTGAATGAATTTCTATGTATTTGCATCAATATCTGACGTTGATGATGAAATTGAAACAATCCTCATAGAGTGTACTTTGATATTTTCCTCCCTAAAATTTCAGGTTGAATATTTTTATCATACTATCTTGGTCTTCTTCAAAAGAGGTGACTTTAAGCCATTTTAGGTTTTTGGTCGGCGGGTAGCAGCCTTTTTTTCCATAGATAATTATCCAAAGAAATTAAGTGGGCGGAAATAGAACATCAGAACTTTCAGACAACAGGTTACCCATGGGAAACACTAAAAAGGGCTATGAGAATTTTTTTTTTAATTTATAAGAAACCTGAGCTTTCATCGAGAGAAATGAAAAAATATACAAGGGCATATGATCAGCCCGACAAAAGGACACCCTCTAGAGAAACGGGCTCCAATCCAAAAGAATAACAATTAAATGATAATAACAAAAATTCTTAAAAATCAACCCAACAGGGAAGTATTAAATCTAATAAGCTCCCCATTCTACCTAGAACTCTCCAATTTTAAAGATTCCATTGTTTTTCTCGAGTCAAATTCCCCACAAGTAGAAAGGAAATAGGGTTGTGAGACAAATGAAACAAATTGGAAAAATAATGCCAAAAGCTGATTGATTCGACCCTAGAGAATGTCTGTCTCCTAATAGAATTGAACTGTTTATCCTAAAATTGATGAATTAAAAGCTACTTTAAGGTTGTATGCTCTGCTTTTCAAGTATCCTAGATCTCCTTTTAAGATGAGGTCTCAACTCAAAGCATTATAAAAAAGTTCATTTGAAAAGGCCTTCCCTTCACTTTATAAACTAGATAGAGTCTTCCTTGCAAGCATTCAAAGTATTGCATAAAACTAATAAACTTGATTTCTTATCATTAGCTTTTCTTTCAAGTTTGCAATATTACTGTTTTAGTTTACAGAAAACAGAGCAACTTTTCTCACTTAAATCTTAAATTGCTTCAGGTTGGATTGTGCGTGGGGCTAGTTTTCACATTCCCTATAATGTTGCATCCAATTAACGAGATTGTGGAGGGTAAGTTGAAACAGAGCAACTGGCTTCAGAAGGTCCAAGACAGTGATAACGTGTTCTCACGAAAAGGAGTAACGTTGGTTGCGTACATCAGTCGGGCGATCATCGTGCTCGGATTGGCTACCTTGGCTTCGTTCATACCAGGTTTCGGTGTTTTCGCCTCGTTTGTTGGCAGCACGGTATGTGCATTAATCTCATTTGTTTTGCCAGCAATCTTTCACCTATTGTTAATGGGATCATCTCTGAGCTTCGGGCAAAAAGTTTTGGATTCTTTCATTTTGATATGTGGATTGTTTTTTGCTGTTTATGGTACTTATAATACTATAGTTGGTTTCTGAGCCGCTGGTGATGTGTAACTTAAATTACAGTTCATAGTAAAATGGTTATTTATCCTCTCCATGTTTTTTTTTCATTTTTCATTTTTTAGAGGGATTAGAAGATCACTCTCTTAATTAGGGATTGGTATGTACTTGTGCTCTCAGGTTTTCACTTTAATCCCTGTACTTTTTCTTATTTTTCCTATTTTGCTTTATTGTTATATAGCATTTGGTACTAAATACTATTTTGATTATTGTACTTCCAAAACATATATCTTTTGGACTCTCTAGTTTTATAAAATGACCAAATTGGTTATTATTTGTAAAATTTTATCCATAATAGAAATCCTTCCACACAAATCTATGAGACTATATTTCAAGAAATTTAATGAGTTAAATTTCATGCAAGAGATTATATTTCAAGAAATTTAATGAGTTAGATTTCATGCAGGAGACTATATTTCAAGAAATTTAATGAGTTAGATTTCATGCAAGAGACTATATTTCAAGAAATTTAATGAATTAGATTAGATTCATGCTAAAAAAAAACAATGTTTTGAAAAGAAAATGAACGAAAGTTGAAAGCACAAGACTGATTTGAAAGTCTAGAACTCAAAATGAATCAAAGTTGAAGACTGATTTGAAAGTCTAGAACTCAAAATGAATCAAAGTTGAAATTACTGGAACTAAAATAATATTTAAACTTGGTAAAATAAAATAACTAGAAGTTTGAGAGGAATCACACTCCGAACAAAAGATTACTTTATTTTTCCTCTAACAACTATATACGGACAAATAACTACCCGGGAGATAAACATTTTCCTCTAACAGCTATATACGGACAAAAATAACTACCCGGGAGATAAACATAAGACAATGTAACTAACTACAGGTATAGCCATGCATAACCACCCGTAATCTTGTCTTATATGCAATTATATTACTGCAATTCATCTTTTATTCTATCGATAGTGTAGCTTACTACAGCATCTTCTCCAAAAATGCATTCAATTGATCCAATATAAATCCAACTTTCTATTCGAGGCTGTTTGAATGCTACAAATACAAGGTAAGTTTTCACTTAAAATATTTTTTTCCCTTGAGAATTATGCATAACTTACCATCTAGTGAACTAGTTTTTAGGGCCAACAAATCATCCTTTAGGCAAAGCAGCATCTGAAAGACAGTATAGCTAAGCTATGCATCTAATTACATTTCCATAAGCCTTCTCTTCTTATAAAATTTTGCTTGCATTTTCGAGATCGAAACACGTCCTCTAAGAAGCCTAAAAGTTTTCCTAGAAATATACAACACAAACCAAATGAAATTACAACCAATCCCATGACCAAGCAAAAACATGGCGTAACCTCAATTAGGTAATTGCAACTTTCAACTTAATCCTGCAGAGATTCATAAGTTCCCATGGTTAGCAAAGTACACACTAAACTAAATCAGTTGCTACTCATGAATTTATACTGGTTTGAAAGACAAACCTTTTGGCTCATAAGAATTTCGACTGCTATATTTACGTCCCCATCCGCCGCTGCAAGAGCAACTTCTACTTGGGTCTATTATAAGAATTACCAAATATTTTGAGTCAAAGTTGCCACGATAATAATAAAGGAATATATAAGAGCTCGTTTGGTAACATTTCTGTTTCTTGTTTATCGTTTCTTCTTTTTTAATAAATAAAAATACAACTATATTTAGTAAATGTTTCTTGTTTGTCGTCTTTACTTTTTTAAGAACGTGTTTGGTAACCATTTTATTGTTTCTTTCTTGTTCTATAGAATTTTAAATTGAAAAAAAAAATTTATTATATGAAATTTAATTTTTTAAATTAAATATTCGAAATTTTTATGTTAGATTTACTTCTTAATATTTATTATGCATAACGCCTTTTTATTTATGTTTTATCAAAAAACTAAAATAGAAATAAGAAACAAGAAACTTAATTTTGTTTCTAAAATTTTTACCAAACACTTATATTTCTCAAAAACTGGAAACAAAAAATGAGAACGTTACCAAACGAGCTAAATAGGCCTACATATATGTATTTTTCTAAAAGTATACCATAATGGTGTGTTATGAAACAAGTGTGTTGCCAACATAAACGTTGGTAGTACGAGTTAGTATTTTAGAAGTGTACAAAAAAACTCGAATTTTCTAAATTTGGTCTCTCAAATAGAAGCTTCCGTTTTGATTAATGGGCAAAATGAGTATGAAGAAAATGTAAGTCTAAAAGTAGCATGTATAAAGGCATAAGAAAGTTGGAAACAAATATCTAAAGAATGCAGGAAGGGGGTATAAAACCTCCTATGCTATTAGTAAAGCCGGCTGAAGTGGTTTACTAATAGAATTGACGGATAAGGCTACTAATTCTGGTAATAACCTTCTTAGGAAGGAAAAACTTACATTTCGAGAACTATACTAACGATAAAGTTGGAAGCAAATATCTATAGAATGCGGAAAGGGGGCATAAACCTCCTATGTTATTATAAAGCCTAAAGGCCAAAGGGGTTTACTAATAGAATTGACGAATAAGGCTGTTAATTCTGGTGAGAACCTTCTTAGTTAGGAAAGATTAGTTAGGAAAGACTTACGATTCGAGAACTATACTAATGATAATGGCAGTTTAAACATATAACACAGGGGGGTAAGGGAAGAGAGTATCTGCCCATCTATATTTCACTAAAATATTGTAGAACAAGAAGAAAAGGGATACTGCAATGATATGGAGTAGAAAGATTACCTTTTCAAAACCCATGGATACTAGATTCTGAATCTCTGCATCAGAAGCAACTGAGTTCTGCAATAAGTTTACAATTAAACCAAAGATACTATTTAACGAGCCAGTCGGGCAGGGAGGGAGAAGGGGTGAAACCTGATTTTGTCTCGGGATCGCTCGATCTACAACGGTGCTATCATTTTGCCTAACAGAATCAATAATAAAACTCTAAGATGTTGGGATAAGAAAACCAAGCATGGGACTGCATTATTATAGCACTGTAATTTCTGTATCAACACTTATAAAGGGTGTTTGGTTTCTCATATAAAATGCTTCTTCAAGAATGAAAAGCACTTTCTGAAAGTTATTTTAGTCGATGCTCCTGGTAAGAACACTATCAAATATTCATTAAGGGAACTTAGATATTTCCAGAAATTAGTTTCTTCTTTATATCTGCAAGCCTTTCAAACCACTGTTGGCATTTCCAAAGCATTCTCAAAGAGCCCCTTAATATAATTTGTTTTCTTGAGAGGAAAAGAATATAAAAAAAATATACATTCTTTCAGAGGAAAAAGTATATACAAAGTTCCAACTTTTCATGGTTTTAGACTTCTGTAAAATTGAAATACCAACATGGACACTTTTTTCGTCACTTTTACCAATTGCAAACGTCAACACATCATAGACAATGTCTAGAATGGCACAGAAAAAGTGAACAAGTATTAAAAGAGACTTCAAATTCTGACAAGATTGACTTTCAATTCACTTTAGAGTTTAGATAATTCATAGTACAAATGAAAAATCATATCGCGTCACCTTCCATCAGATGACTGATGACCTGCACCAGTTACTGCCATTTCAAGGGGACGGTCTGCAGAACTCCTATCCAACAACCTAGTCTGCAGGTTAAACTCTGAATCATCACCAGAAGCTGTTTGGTTGTGAGCAGAACCAAGTGTTCTTCCACGTCCGGGAAATCTGCTGTCTTGTTGTGGCTGTACCACATCAAGTTTCAAATCATAACAAGGCCAAAAATGAAAACACACTGAAATATTTAACGTTCACTTTGAATGATTTTTTTAATATCCAAATGAATAAGAGAGATCTTATTGATCTGTTCATGACTACAAGCCTACAAGGTTCCAGAAGCTTGCACTGTCCTCATTTCTTCAATCTCCACATGTAACTTATAAGTTCTCTCTTGTTAACTCCTAACAAATTAACTCACTCACTTGGCAAGTTATGACTACCAAGAAAACTAACCACCTCAATCAATGGTGCTAAAGGTCAACCAACCCACCCTGTGGCTTCCTTCTGGCACAAGTGAACATTACAGGTGGCTTGGGCTTATCAATACCCACTGTCCCAAATATTCACCTTGTCCTCGAGGTGACATAGAAAGATCTGGCTGATCTTCCCACTGAATGTGTACACCTCCATCACCCCACCTGAAGTTTGGTTCAAGGTTGGGACTTATTCCTTTTTTTTGAACAAGATACGAACTTCTCGTTAAGATAATGAAAAGGAACAAAAAAGTTCAAAGATACAAATTCTTGAAAGAGTGAAGAAATAAGTAAAAAACAAGTCAAAGGAAATGAAAGTACTTATTCCTAAAACAGCAAAAGTTTAACTGGAACTACAAATAAAATGAAAGTTCGGGCAAAAGAGACTGGGAGAATAGGCCAAAGTTGAGAAACAAGAAAGATGAGATATAGATAAGATTTATTCAAAAACATAACTTTATAAGCCACCATTCCAATACTTCGATAAGGATTGCAGTTTGTCCCCAACCTAAAAAATTCAATTCCTTTGCTCGCCATCCTCATAGAGCCTTCACCTTTTGCTGGACATGTGACAAATTGAATTAAGTCATCCAAGGCAGCATGACAATCCTCCAGGAGGAGTTGATCAATGAATGAAATAGGAGAAGATCCCGACACAGCATAGTAATGGCAAAGAAGCTCAACCATTGAGTAGATGGAAGGGAATAGCTTTGGTGGATACATGAAAAGAGATCTTATACTAGTGCTCAAGCCCATGACAACCATTCTGCAACTATCCCAGACTTCACGCAACTTTTCTGTAACCCTCTCCCTTCCCTTCATTCACTTTTATGCTAACCTCACTCCCCTCACGTTTGCCTTCCCATCAATTAATAACAGAATTACAAAATGTGGACCCTGCTACTTCTAACTACCCAAGCCCTATATAGCTCATACCCTTTGCATCGACTTCGTCTAGCAACCCAATTCTCTCATCCTCTTCTTAGAATATGTCAAACAAACCTGATATTTATCAGTCCATCAGTTTCATATTTTGAGGGTATGTTACAATTGGAAATGTATGACAAGTGTAACAGAAAAAAAAAACAAAATAAATAAAATTTAAAAAGAAAAAGAAGAAAAGTAAAATGTTGCCATTGCGCCACCAAACAAGGAAATAGAAAAAGGAGCACAGTAAAGAAATCATATTTGTAACAGAATAAACACTATGGATCGAAGGTAAATATTCTCATTCCTAATAAGTGAACATTACATGGCCTAACAAATAATTTGGCTTAAGTGGTTGTATTTTGTCTCAAGTTTCCCTGTTCTATCAGCTACCCCGTTCCAACTATTTCTACATCAAAAGCCAAATCATATATGTATGAAGTAGTTTTTAACCAATTTAAGAGAATAAGATACCTGAGTAACTGTCTCTCTACACGGCATCCATGAAGATAAGTTTCTCCAAATATTACCAAAAGAAACCCCACTGTTAAAATGGAAAAGGTAAAATGAAAAGACATGTTTGTAGTCAAGCAATTGTATAATAAATATATGATCAATGTAAGAATTTACTTGGACATGGTACTTTGGCCAGAATATGTTGGAAGTTGGCCAGAAGGATTTCCACCAGAGCACAGAATAAATTTAGGTCGCCTCACACAAGATGACTGCACCAAAATCAAAAAGGTTACAAAACTAGAAAGCAAGCAAAGAAAAATAGATCACCTTCTCAATAAAAATGAAAAAGGACAAAAAAGAGGAGAAAAAAAACTTTCTATATATATGCATTATGCCTATCAGTATCTATAGTAGTTGATGACCGGAGTAAAGTTCATAAATTTACTAAAACTTGCAAAGTCTCGTTAAATTTTGACACTGGTTGATGGTTTAAGAATATTTAATATCTATTAGATATAACTACTAAAAAGATAGAGTTTACATTCTGAAGATAAGAGGTAGATAATGGTCGATAGAAATATTATTAAATTTATTCTTTTTATTTTGTGATAAGTAAGCACTCCCATAGATAAGAATGAAAGAACAAAGCAACGTTAAGGACCAAACAACAAAGGAAACAAAAACTAAAGAATCCAAAAGTCGAAACAAGTTAAGTTAAGCATCCATTTTCAAATATTGAAAAAGGGTGCCCCAAATGATGCCCAAAGGAAGTGTTGAAGTGTGCAATATCACACAAGCAAGGTCATAGTTCTACAATCCAATCATGACCAGTTGTGTAAGGCTTCTCACTCTTCAAAACGGTTACTTGAATTTTTTTTTTCTCTCTTTTTTTCTGAAAAGGTGCCCAACTTTCATTGAGATAAAAATGAAATAACACAAGGGCATAAAAAAGACAGCCAAACTAAACCAAAAAGGAGTTTCAATCTAACACTTCCTTTCTGGAAGTGCATCTCAAGCCCCCTTTCGAGGTCCACTCAAAGGGACATAGACCGTACTTGATTACAATAACCTTATGCCATAAACAGTCAGGCTTCTGAGGAAAGCGCCATAACCACTTAGCCAACAAGGCCTCATTTCACACCCTCACATTGCCAATGCCTAAACCCCAGATCCAACGATGGTTGTGTCACCAAATCCCATTTAACTTAATGAGAACTCTTCCCCTCCTCTATCCCCTCCCACAAGAAATCTCTCATGAACTTTTTAAGGGCTTACCAACTGCGAGCACCATAAACAAAAATAGAAAGTAAATCGGAATTTCACCCAAGATATATTTGATAAAAGTTAGTCTACCCCCTTAGAAAAGAAACTTCTCTCCTAGAAGAAAGGCATTTCAAAACATTTTCCACAACCGAATCCCAAAAAAAAGCACTACTAGGATTATGCCTGAGGAGAAGACCCAAATAGGAAGAGGGAAAAGAACCAACCTCACACCCCACTAAGTAGCCCCACCTGTCCAGCTTAGAAGGATTACAATTAATGCGCCAACAAAAGAACGCTGTCAAGATGCCCTCTAGTCTCACCAATCACTATAACTATCAAGAACGCTAGAATCAACACAGTTACAACCAAAGTAACAGTAATAATCTCATTCGCCTTATTTCCAATGCAACAAAACACTTACAAGCAAAGAGGAAGACTCAATAGCAGAATAAAATGGCGTTCCAGGTAATAGAAAGTTTAATAGCCCATAAGTATCTGCATTGTTGACAAGAGAAAAACAGCATCCTTAGTTCCACAGAATAATATAGAAATATTTGGTGTAAGGATAGGCAAGTGGAAAGATAGAAAAAACTGACATGCAAATCCGGTCACTATGCCACATAGGTGCCCTAGAAATGAGACATTTGTCATTAGAAGCTGGAACACCAGCAACAAAATCCAAACATACCTAAACCACGCCACTTCAACCAATTATTAATGTGAATACCCAAGATATTTGGAATTAGTTTAATCATATTAATAACAATTACCATTGAGCAGGAACATTAAAGAGGCCAAAAACACTGCAGTGACAAAGGGAAGGGGAAAAAGAAGAGAAAAAGAACATGTTAGTCAACCTAAATGCATTTATCAATATTATCAAATATGATTACACAATAGGATTATCCTACATATAATTTATGTGCAAAGCTCATAAGAAAAATGGGTAATGTAATAGAGAAAAGACAATAATATCATGTAATATGAGTCATTGGTTTAAAATAATTACCTCCTAGATTGAACTCCACTCAAACTTGTCTCTATGACAATCAATGAAAACAAAATTCCAGAGAATCCTATGGCGCATTCATTCATAGGGTTCTCATAAGGACGAAAGGGGTTATAAGCCATGATAACTGCAAAGAAAAGATGAATAATAGCATTGCTTGTGGCTAGGAGAATAGTCAGGTAGAGCATGCGGACTGATCCCATGATTCTCTCGAGTTCAGAACCCAAAGGCACTAAAGCCAACATGTTGAACAAAACGTGAAGTAGTGAGCCATGGAAAAGAACAGACGTAAAAATCCTGTAAACTGCATAAAATAACCAAAGATCCTTAAGAACCACGAAAATAATTTACCTACTTTAATATATAACAACTGACAAAGTAATAAGGGGGGAAAACACAGAATGTATATATATGCCGTGTAGTCACAAAAAATCAGAAATTATAAATTAAGGAGCATTGGTTCTACCTAAAAGTGAATTATGTGTAGAGATCATGATACAAAGTACCAGTTCTGGGTAAGAAATACAAGTTAATCTAAAAGGATATCTTCATATATAATTTTGTTACAAATACTTCAACTTGTTCTACTTCTTCATTTGTCACAAACACGATACTAATTAGTATTTAGTTGAGACAGTATGCCAACTGAAAAATCCACCATGAAGGAAAATTTTCCTTCACGTAAAAATTATAGGATGCAAAATTTTGAGACAAATGTGTTCAAGTTGGAAACTGCTCTACTTGGAAGAAAGATCATATACAGGTATTATTTGGCTCAAGATATTTTTTTTCTTAAACAAGAAACAAACTTTTCATTGATAATATGAAAAAGAAGACAAATGTTCAAGGATCCAAACTTCTAATGAGAGCGAAAAATGACAAAAAAAGGGAAAAAAAAAGAATGAAGGCTCCAAGAATTACAAGAGAATAAAAATATTGAAGAACAAAACAACTACAATCTTGACAAGCTGAAAAATCAAAATCACTTCCTTCAAGCTGCAAAAGCTGGCTCAATATAATTGTCCGTCATAAATCCCAACAAAGCATGGTGCAGACTTGTGAGTGTGTGCATGTGGGAGCTTAAAGAGAGAAACAAATATATCATAAATATATATCAGGAACATGAAACAAAAGCACTACAAAAAGGAACTAAGAGAGAGAATGAGAGTGAATAACAGATTCAGTGACATAAAAAGCAACCACTACGTATTTGAAAAAAGAGAAATGTACCTTGAAACTTTGATAGGATTGCCGCAGGTAAGAAACATATTTCGGCAAATGAGTCATATCCAACCAAGAGACAGACCAAGTAAATGGTTCCACAGATTATCACAACAGCTGAAGTAAAGAACGGAATGCCATCCCACCATTGCCCCACCCTTGTTGGCAATCCTGCCTATCAACCACCAAAATATAAATGGAGGGGGTCATTATTATTTTCTTTTTTCTGCTATATTAGGAAATACATAATGATGCCAATTCTCAAGCTTTGACATTAATAATAATGGCCAATTTACTCTGGTTAAACAACTAGCTAGAGGGCAAAATTCAGTAAATGAACTACCCATACAGCAAAATAGAAAGTTAAGCAAATGTAACTAAAGGCCGGATCAGCAAATGTATAATGCAAGGCACCAAAAGAAACGGAATTTGCAGTGGGAGATTGGGTTTATTTGAGGTTGCAACCCTATGGACAAGTCCCCTGAATAATTTTGATACTGTCAACAAGGTGGAAGAACAAGATACCTTTCAACTGCCCCATAATTGTCGTACCCATCCTCCCTGTCTATATGTATTATTAACTAAATGAAAAGATTAGCAATAATATCAATCTCCAAACACAACTTCACTACTAGAACAATTGGAACTGCAGCTTCTCCATAATCCTCATTGAATCGACATAAAAAAAGTGGAAAGAAAAATGTCATATCCTTATAGCACGGATTATCTTCACTTGAAGCGACTTGGGAAGAACATAAATATGATAGTTGTGCCATTTCCTAGTTTGATTCATTAGAACAGAGGTGAACTTTGAGAGAGAGGAAATTACATCAGGATTTCGACACAGTCCCAATTCTCACTTTAAGTTTGTGTACTTCTACATTTGCCAACTAAGATAGCAATTCAGCGGCTATGAGATGGAAACCAGTTGCTTGCCAATGGGCTGAGCCAGCTAGAAGAAAACTAAAATAAAAAAACCCCTTGAGGCTGGATCCCTCGAACCATCTAATTATTTCTTTATATGTGAAATTTCGGAAGCGTATCAAACGCTTAATTAATCAACAAACTCAACTACGGTGGCATTTCAGAAACTCGATTAGCTAATTGTTTCAATACCTTATTTGTTAATTACGCGTTTCTTTAAACAAAAGCAATCAATCAAACACCCAACAACAACTCTTAAGAACCCCGGAAGAGTTATTTTCCAGCGAATTCGACGAGAATTAGCTTGCTTCTACAGTCATACGGTTCCTAAACGGGATTCCGACACTGTGGGCAAGATGAGGCCAAATTGAAGGTTGCATTGAAAAATGGTAATCGAAGTTTACCTCGGTGACGATGTTGGATCTCATCCTCTTGCTCGCAAATTCCCGCGAATTCTCAGAAAGCAAGACTGAAGAGTACTAAAAGCAAGTTCAATCGCTATGCAGAATGAATAGTTAAAAATTAACTCGTTTTATCTCCCGGGTTTTCTTTCAAAATCAATATGGGTCTCTTCGAATTCGTGTTCCTTTTCTTGTGAAATTAATTTTTGCCCATAGGGCTCACTAGTTCTTAACAGTTAACACAGCATCTATAATCAAAATTAATTTATATTCAATCTAAGTTGTTGATTTTTGGGAGAGTTGCAAAATTTTTTATTTTTTTAAGTATAAATGAGATCGGAGGTTTCAACTTGTAATTTGATTAGATATATATTAATTACAATTAAGTTAAAATAATAGCAAAAAAGTATAAAGGAAGGTTACCATCACACACCCTTAACCAATTATATCTTATATGAATATTTATACAATCAAATTTTCAAATTATAAGATTTTTAAATTCTATAAAATTTTGGTCTAAAGGGGCAACGGTGAATTGAGAGAAAATAGATTCAAATCCCATGAAGACTACTTACCTTAGGAATTAGTAATTCTTATGTGTTTTCCGATACAGAATATGGTAAGGTCAGACGATTACCGTGTGAGATTAGTCGAGGTGTACGTAAACTAGTTCGAACACTCACGAATATAGATAAAGGTTTAATTACAACATATTTTTTTTAACATGAGTTTAGTTCAACGATAATTGATATTAATTTTTTACTAAGAGGTAATGAATTCAATTACGAGAAAGTTTTATATATATATACACACACACGATAAATATGTAGAATCTCCGACCTTTTTAAGTAAATAAGTTATGTTTTTTTGTTAAATCTACAAAGTCTATATTTGTTGTACTACAACAAAGGGGAGTAATTAATCAAATCGGGATTTATATTGGTGCTTTTTGCAAGTATGCTAATATTTTTAATTATAATGTATTTGTCTCTAGTGACATTAAATTTTGATGACGAAAAGTTTGTCTTATATTATAAACAATTATAGGTTTGGGAGAAATTAAAAACTTCCATTTTTAGATAATATATATATATATTTTATTTCTATCGAGTATTATGCTATATAAATGATTCGATCCACCCATAATATTAAACCTTTTTAAATACAATCGCAAGAGAAAAATACTAAAGAAATAGTGGGATTTGTTTTTAATATTACTAAAAATAAAACTATTTTTAAGAATATTATAAATAGGGATGGCAACGGAGTTGGGCCATCCCTGTCCTCGCCCTGTCGAGGATTATTTCCCTATCCTCGCCCTTGAAATTTTGGGGTGGGGACGGAACGGGAATTCCCTATTATAAATATATATATTTTTTAATATTTTAATTAATTTTTTTATTACCAATATAAAAAGTGAATATAAAATTAATATCATTAATATTATTATATAAAAATAATAAAATATTAAATGGGGCGGGGATGGGGACGTGGATGGAACTCGAAATCATTTCCCTGTCCCAGGTCAAATTGGGGATTCTCCAACCTCGGGTTCGCAAGTTTTTTTTGGCCATCCCTAATTATAAACTACATAATAACCTTAAAAAATAACACTCCTTTAAATTTTCCACCTATTTTTTTTTCTTCCACCCTCTCGATAACTCCCACTAATTGGGTAAAAATTTCAAAATAAAAAGTAAAAAAGAAAAAAGAAATATATAGCGCGCACACATATAAGTTGAATAGAATTTTAAATAGCTATAATTTTAGGACTCTAGTCCTCCTCAAATCACAAATCTTCCAAATTGACGTACAATTCGATTGACAAGAGACGATATCCGTTATTTATTGTCCTACTTTTTTTTTTCAAATATGCATTATTTTAAATTAAGAAAACAAAATAGTAACATGACAACATGTCATCTCTTATCTCTTAACGCGAGCCCATTTCATATTAAAGTGGTCTCTTCATAGACATCTCCTTTCAAGTCGGGTCAATTAGCAAAAATTTAAAACAACATTACTACTAAATATTAAAAAGAATAGTTTTGTTTTAATAATATCTTAAAAAAAGTCCATAATTGTAGTGCTTGATAAAGTTTGGATTTATATAAATTATGGACCCTCAAATTTCAAAGTGTCAAATGTCCATCAAACCCCTTCCGATTGCGATCCACGCCACCGCCATGGCCCACGCAACTCTCACAGAAACCCGAGCGACTGAGCCAGACGACACCAGAGACACAGCGCCTTCTACTTCCTTCGCCTCAAATTCCCTGCTTTTCTCCTCTCCAATCCAATGGTACCCATTACCCATATTCAATTTCTTGTTTTTCTTTTTGAGTTTGGTTGGATCTAGCTTCAGTTTTTTGAACCCATTGCTCTGTGATCGAATAACGAAGTGGGAGTTTCTGTTCGTCTTCGTTTCGTTTGCTGTCGTGTTGTCAACTATGCTTGAGTTTCGTTCTACTGTGGAATTAGTGTATTTTGCATGTTTTGCTGTGGTTGGTGTTCTTGTGTGTTGATGCATAGTGCCGAGTGACCGATTGATTTATTTGGGAGTGAATCAGTGATTTTACTTCTTCCTGTAAGAATTTTAACGGGTGCTGTTTAATGGGTCTGTTGAACGTTTTTGTTTTGTGTTGTCTCCTTGAGTTTTTTTTTTTTTTTTTTGCTGCGTTATGATACATCAGTTGTTTTGATCTTCAGTTCCTTGGTATTTTTGGTTCGTGGCTGTTGGAATCTTGAATTGGATTATTAGGTGCTATTCTAAGATGAAATTAGCAGGATGAATTAATGAAAGAAAGTGTGGAAAGCTTTAGAATCTGCTTCAGCTCCTTGACATTGCAGATACAAATTTCCACCTAAGTTCATAAATCTTAACAGAGCTGATTTAGCTCTCCTCAATTAATTTTAAGTTGCCTCACAGTTGAGGAAGATATTATTTAACTCTTCTTCACTATTGTTACAAAGGTAGCACCAATACATTAGCAAATTAAAAAGCTGATACTGTTAGTAGAGTGTAGGGAATTAGAAATTTATCGATGGAGGCTGAGCATCTCGGCCGATGTAGTTCTAAAAGCTAATACTGTTTCCTTGTCCCAAGTTAAAAGCAAAAAGCCTCTTGACCAGTTCCTGGCAGCCAGAACAAAGGCTCAGGGATACGCTCTACACTTCCAAGTCCGACTGAAGACTGAACCAACCCTTCAAAATTCGGATATATTTACTCACTATAACCTTGTGTCCTAGACTCATAGTGACCCATTCCTAAGGCCACATTGAAATCATTCATTTATATTATAACAAAGTTAGTTGCTCCCCTTTAGGCTCCAAACTGGCCATTCACCCTTTTGCCTACTCCAACGATATGTAGAGCCTTCACGTTCAGAACTTACATTAGCTTGTATCTTTCTGAAACTTAAACCCTAGTCAATAGGCCTCTGGTTCAGTGATGAAGTTGTGGGTTGCCCTTCAATCAATCTTACTGCTCTTTTAAAGTTTCTAATGAACTCTAGCATCAAAACATGGTAGTCCCCTATATGAATAATTCTTAGCCCAATCAGTTTGCCCATGTAAAGCTGGAAAAAATCTCGATGCTTCCATCCATGCTATTGTACTTATATTAGGAGCAACCTAATAACTTGGAGAATCAAGAAACTATTAGTGAGGCCCTGGGCGAGTTCTATTGAATAAAACCTATCATTAGAGGCATTGGAGGCACAATGCCCTCGAGTCTTGACCTTTTCTCAAACTTTAAATAGGTAGGATAGTGCAGCTGTTTTGTTGATCTATGCCACGGAATCAAGAGCTCTATGTGGGCCATTTTTGGTAAGTAGAACAGAAGCCAGGTACAGTATTTAAATGCACACTAACCTAGATCTCACAAAGAGAGTTGGTCGATTAAGACAACAAGATGGTGGTCATGGGAATTGAAATCTGCTAAAGAGTGTGTAACAACTCACCTGCCAAATTAGTAATATCATCAAGTAGTGTTGAAGATTAATTTAGAGTTGTGGCTCATGGATGATGTGAAAGGGTATAGATTAAGATCTGCACCGAATTAAAAATAAGTCAGAAGAACCAGGGATGACTGTTGATATAACCAAGCTACCATAAGCATGGATGAAGATCCCATCATCATTTCTGCACGAAACATGTTGAGATATTGTAGGTTGTAGATATCTTCACCAAAGCTCTGCCAAGGATTCCTTTTGATGATTTGAAGGTCGAGCTAGGTTTCATCAATAGTTACAACCCAACTTGGGGGGAGCGTAAAGTTCTTGTTGCCTTCCCAGCCCACTGCTTACCCTTTTACCATTATATTTATATTTATTCTTCCTTCTTCTTTCCTTGGATATACTAGTTTAATATATCTGTTTACCTATTTTTCTTTTATTCGTGCCTTTTAGGTTTTTAGACTGTTGGATTTTCTTTTCTTATGCGCACAGCCAGCTTTTTCTTAAATTAGGGCTGTACAGTTTGGGGTCATTATGATGAAGAAAAAGAATTACAGAGCATAAATCCTAAACCATAAACTCTAACCCCTAAACCCATTGTTTCAGATCTTTGGATGCTCTTGGGTTTCTGATTTCAAGGTTATAAACAGTATCTACAATTTTCTTCGTGGTCACGGTTTAAGAGGAAAAGTAAGAGTTCTATGGATCAACATTGCAAGTAATATATACACATGTTTCTTATAAAAAAAAGAAAAGAAAAAGCACTGTTATATATGTGGATATTTGGTTTGAAAATAATCAATGGCGTTTTGAGAACAGAAACGTTCATTGGGAGAAAATATTTGATAGGACAAAGTTCCATGGGCTTCTTGGATCACTCTTTCTGAAGATTTTTGCAATTGCTCGTTTTATGAGATTAATTCTTGTTGGAAAGTTTTCTTGTTCCCTAAAATAAAATTTATTGTTCCCTAAAATTCTTTTTGGAAAGTTTTCTTGTAAATACTATTCAGATTGTTTAAGCTTTAATGTATTCTTCTTGCTGTGGGGACTTTTAGATTCACTCCCAAAGGAGTCTTTAGTTTATAACTTTTCAAATATCAATAAAGAGTTTGTTTTCCATTAAAAATAAAAGTACTAGAAAATTATTATTCTTGTTTGTACATTTCAGTGCGCACCAAAGCACATCATGCTTTATTTTGTATCCTAATATACCTACAGAAAACTTTTTGTCCGTTATTGCAATTTCAATTTGCTCTTCATAGCTCCTATCATGCTGTTTGTATTGAATGGAAACTTTTCCAACTTGGTGACAGTCTTAGATTTTGTGTTTTGATTGACCTCCAATTTTGTCTTTTTGTTTAATGTAGGCCTTTGTCAAACAGAACATTGAAGGATGCATAAAATGCATGCACATTAGCATATAATGCTTTGATGGACGATTCTGTAAGTTACATTTACTCAGCAGTTAATTTTTATAAATAGGTTCTTTATCGTCAATCATTCAATTGATTTATATGAGGCAATCATTTAGTTAGGTGTTATTCTTTTGGATTGGGTCATTTCTTATAGGTCAGTCTCTTTCTGTTTGGGCTAGTATTTTTTGTATGTCCTTTGTATATTATTTCATTTTATCTCAATAAAAGCTCGGTTTCTCATTTATTAAAAAAACAGATGCATATGGATATTCCATGCCCCCTCCCCCCTCAACTTCCTGTTTTTCGTATGCAGTTCGCATTCTCTCAAACAATTGATCATGGTTTGCCTTCTCAGACGTGTACTTTATTATTGTGCTTTCTCTTCACTATTAACTCCGCTCTCCTGCAGAGTAATAAAGCTGGAACTCGCTGCCAGGTTGGTGATCGGTCGACCAGTGATGTTGTCGTGAGGCTTAGAACAAAAGATGGTCGAGATGAATGGTTATACTGTCACTCCCATATCCTGACTCAACAGAGCAAGTATTTTGCCGATCGCCTTTCTGAGAAATGGCCAACATGCCAGATTCTTGACTCAAGAAACTGTGTTGAGGTTTTTTGTCTAGAATCAAACTTTGATCACCATGTAAATCTTCTACGCCTTCTCTATGTCATTATGGATATCCCAGCAGATGACTTATGGAATGATGTTCGAACGGTTCTCGGCATCCTCGGTGTGGCATTTGAGCTTGAGTGCAAAAACATTATTAGTGCTTGTGTGAATTACTTGGAAGCAGTACCATGGGAGGAAGACGAGGAGGAGGAAATTCTGAAGGTGATACCTCATATGGGACCAGAAGCCAAGCCAATTCTTGCTCGTCTCCAACCAGTCAATCCATTTCTTGTTAGACAGATATTTCTTTCCGCCCTTCGATTGGCTACATCATCCCCCTTCTCTAACATGCATGATCTCAAGCCCTCGGCCCAGGAACAAATTGAGTACATGCTAACTGATGACGATGACGCTCCGTTATTGATGGCTGATGCCGAACTAAAACTAGAGGTAAATGATTGTGTGAAGAGCCTACTAAAATATTTTAACAATCTTATAGAAATAGTACTTGATCCTTTACACTCTGATGGGAAGGAGAGGAACATGCAGGTTTTAGTTTTTTGTTTGACAGATTTATCTTGGGCATGTCGGATTCTAAAAAAGTTAGAAACTATGAAGGAGTTTGTCTCCAATTGGATTGATGCATCAAATAAGATAGTCAAGATGGTTGAGCAAGCGAGTGTAGCATCAGAAGTCATTGATACAAGGATAGGGATTATAGAAGTGGTAGCAAAGGTTTTAGAGGCAATCAAACATGGCTCGGTGATTCTCCCGACCCCAAAACGGGTTCACATGGTGAAGGTTTGGCTTCCTTTCGTGCGGACCACCAAATCCTTGATCGATAGTCTTGCTAACAACGGTGTCGATGATCTGAAACTCAAGATCGACGCTGATGTGTGGGAGTTGTTAGAGTCAGCATTCGTCTCGGTCATCCTCGCATTGCCATCAGGAGAGCAGGCAGAGATTATAACTGAATGGTTGCAGAACCAACATGTTATACGTTATCCAGATCTAACAGAGGCGTTTGAAGTATGGTGTTATAGGTCGAAAGTGGCAAAGAGAAGGCTATCCCTGGTAGGGGACAACCACGGTGCAGCAGCGACGAGCTAAGCTTCCAGCCCTCAGCTCGAACTCGAATGGTTTTGTAATTGTATTGTGAATTGTCATTCAACTCATAATTGTAAGAGCATGGGTTGGAAGCATTGTTTTGTGGAGGTTTTCTGGTTTTGCCTCCTCTTGTTTCATCGTAAAATTTTAGTCATAGTTAAACTGGAGGCATGTGCATTTGTCAGATTGAAAAAGAAAAAAAGTGGAAAAAAAGTAGCAGAAGATTTCAGTTTCATACAACCACTTATCTTTTTTAGTACAACATCCGGGAAAACAGGAAATGAGTAGATATTAATTATTGGTGAGCTATGTTCATATTGTTTACAACTACTAATATTAAAATGTATTGCAGTGTAGTTTACCTATAGGTATCGTCCACGTCACTATTAAATATTTGACAAGAATGAGAAATATAAATATAAATATATACAAAGTATATTTTTCTTTTTTTTTTCAGCTTTTTTTCATTTCTTCGTACTCTTTGTTTTTGAAAGAAACAAAGAATATTTCTTCATACTTCTCCTCGCGCTCTCTTCCATTCTCTTCTCTTTTTCCTCTCTTTTGTTGTATCTTTTTTCCACAACCTCTTACTTTTCAATGGCCCCACCCTAATTTTTTCCCCTCTACTCTTTATCCTCTCTTTTTCTCTTATTTTCTACTCTATCCTCGTCAAAGAAAAGCATATACAAGAAAATTGTATGCGCGTTGAAAACTTGAAAGAGTAGATAACTAGAGAGCAACAAGAAAATCAAGGGGCTTTCAGCAAAAACCAGACTAGGAGCTAACCAATATGCCACACTATTTGACTATTTATCTCATTCATTCAAACGAGAGGAATTAAGTCGAATTCAACCTATTCTATCACTCAATGATCATAATCAACTTTCTCTTGGGATTCAAAAATCTCTCACCTACCCATACCTAAATCTGCATGACCACAAAAAGAAATGCGAAGTAAATATAACAAAACTACCACATCAAAACACCCTCTTAAATTCATCAAAAATGAATTCCATAAAGCAAAATTGTCAAACACGCACTCTATTCCAAACTATGTTCTTCAACGGGATTAATAAAAAACAAGTTCTCCTCCAAAACCTATTAAAAAAATGTCTAACAATCTTAGAATTGTCAAGGATGTTGGAGTCGAACTCTCGCGTGTGTTCCATGTCATTGTAATGACATAGAACTACATAGTATAATTTACTATTCGGAAACGATGGATAGCTCGCTCCTTGGTCAAGCCGACCTATGATATCCATTACGATCGATCTTCATAGATACTTCACATCGCTTACCTCTAACTACTTTTTAAACAACACGCTACGATTTACTCGACTTTTGTAACAGTTCAATAGGCGACGACAGAGGTCTAAAACTTATAAATAGAGAGATCCGGTTCATTTACATATACATGAAACTATTCTCTCTCGAGTAATAGATTGGATTCGTACTAACTTAAGCATCAGAACTTTTTATTCTCTCTGTGTTAGTTGGCCACCTGAGTCCGAACTTCGCAAAATTTGTCATTTTTATGATCAAACAAAGTATAACCCTTGGTGATGATAAACTGTCAAGATTCATTAAATCTAGTTGTTTTCTACCTCAAAATCAATCATGAAATCAAAAAATTCTCCCAAAAGTGAGGATGGGTTTGGATGCTCATCCATAAAATATGAATTTAAATACAAAGGATTAACATTTATTCCATATTTTCTAAATGTTGGTTTAAAAAATTTACTTTCTAAGTCACAGAACTCAAATAACATTGCTTACTTTTAATAAATAAACCACTCAATCTATGTCATCCGAATAACACATTAAATTCGTTTCTATTTGAATTTTTGCAAATAACTGACTTTCTCCCTATCAATATACATTACAAAAGGAAAAAGAAAGAATTAAGTTAATACGATAAATTGAGTGTATGAAGTTCGACCCTCAAATCTGAAGTAAATAAGTAAATGTCAGTTAGTTGAGTTCATGCTATAGAAAAGAAAGAATTTGAACTTGTAATCTATGACATTGTACTGTCGGGCCAATTCGAAGATGACATAATAACCTACATCAAAGTATAGTACAATAATTTTTTTTTCCCTTGGGAAGAGGTATGTACAGAATTTTTCAAGTATACAATCAAATATCAATCAACTCAACTATATGCACTTTCAGAAAGAAATAAAGAAAATAAATAAATAAAGTTCTAAAGTGGATATGAAGATCGCAAACTCAAAGGCAAGCAAGAAGAATTCCGCCATGTCCGACCATGGAGCTTCAGAATCTCTTTGGCTTTCTCCTTCGCTTTACTTCCGGCGCCGACGACTTGCAGTAGAAAGCACAGCTTCGTCACAACTCCGAGCCGCAGCATCTCCTGGACGACGCTTTGGCTCGCGGAGAACTTCGCGACGGAGCACAAGATTCCG